ATCAGTTTCCGACATCTTATCAATAATTAAAAACAACTACTGTATCAGGACAGTAGTTTACTTTAAATCATCAAATCTAAAATTAAAATCTGTTTTTAAGAGCCCGTTCATAACGGTAACAATTGTCAAGAATTATTGTGTCCTTTCGGGAAAATGTGGTACGGTACCGGTATGCCTATAAATCACACTACAGAAAGATTGCAAAATCAATACATAGTAACCCCTATGAAAAAGACACTTAATTTTTTGTTATTGTATCACAAAAACTACAGCTCAAATAGCCTAAGAAAAAAAATCAATCAACTTTATATTTTGGCACCTTTCGGCTTTAGAGCTATAAACTTAACATCGAAGCCAGAATTTTCTCATCTTAATCCTTAAAGCGAACATCGGTATTATGTCTTACTTCATGTGTACGTTAATTCGTAGTAAACCAATCTTGTCAAGTGACTTCGTGAGTTTTGACCCTTAACCGGGAATTTCATAGGATTCTAAACCATAACATGTACCCTCATTTCCAAGTCGTCACTCTAATCATGTTACAGGCATCCAATAGAAAGCTCAATATTATAAAAAGAATAGTTGGTATTAACATTGCATCATGAAATAATATTGGGAACAACTATTGTTGTTTCAATCAGGCCTAAATTTCTTCTGATTTCATATTATAAATGAATTGTATTTGCATTGCAAATTATTGCTATAAATTAGTTCTAATTCTATTCAATAAAATTATAATGAATGTATGTCATCGCTTAATGAAAACATTCCGAAACCCTATTAAGGGGACAATTTCACGTTTTTGGTTAGAGTCTCCAGAATAGGGTCCCCCCAGGAGACCAGGAGACACCCATATTAAGGGGATACTTTCTTGGTCCCGAGGGTATGGGATACTTTCTTGGTCCCGAGGGTATGGGATCTACTGTTACAAAAACGAATAGGCCTACCTCTTCTTTTGGGAATTCAGGGATACCACGTTATGATAATAATTAAGGGGAATCCTTTCTCGGAAGGGAAGTGTTTTTTGTCAAGCTCTCATGCTTTAATAAACTTTTTTTTATTAAATGATAAACTATAAAATACATTTAGGGCCTAAGTAACAAAAAGTTCGATTGTGATCACACTACGGTGTATGTCGTGAATAATATTCATAAATAACTTTGATGTAGGGCTGTGTATCAGTGGCCTATTTCTTTTAAAGAGGCCCGGGGTTCATGCAGCCTGACCGAGAAAGGTTATAACCAGACGCTTCCCATCCGCATTTTAATCGACGATCCTATTACATTAACATGCTTTTATAACCTCTGCTGCCGTTGAAGGATAAACAAGGGTTATTATTTTTTTTACCGACGCATAGTTTTCTAGTTAGAAGCAATACTTATTTCATATACAGCGTTTTATTTATTAAGTTAAGGTAAGTAAAATATCTTTATCTTCCATTATTTAGGCCCCGACGATTGATTTAAATCTATAATTATTATACTTTATTTATTTATTTATTTTTTTTTTTTGCGGAATTACAGTTGTATATAAATGCTCTACTGTATTTTACACCACTGAAAGTTAGGCATATAAAGCTAAGCTTAAGTTTTTGACATTAATTTAATAATCCAAATGTAGGCCTATTTTGTGCTCGTTTTTTTAAGTCGACGCGTTGTGGCTATACTGGAAAGTTTAAGACAGAAAAGGCAATTTAAACAAATCATTTTAATTACTTTTTGAATTGTTTTAGGCCTACGGTACTTGTTTCAATTTTAATTTGCTGATTTAAATTGTATAGCATTTTAATAGTTTAATGATTTTTAACTTTTAACTTAAAGAAAATTACTAAAATCTGATTCCTTACTGCAAGTGCAATTCCAAATTTAAATAAAAAATGAATTATTGAAACCAAAATTTCGTTGAATTGAGTATTTCCATATTATGCAAATTATTTGATGAATATTCATTTATTTTTAAATTATTCGGTTAAGCGTGTTATCGGTCCCGGTATTATATGTGTATGGAAATAAGTAAACCTAACTAATAAAGACGTATGTCCGGTTTGAGATAAGTAATTAATTGAGATCGTCTTTTGACAATTCTAATATTTACTTGATTGATTATGCGTTGACGTTTCTGACAAGATTAATCTTTCGTAAAATTAGAAAAGAACAACGTCGTAATCTTGACAATCGGATTGAAAGCACTAGATGGTGACATACGTGTCAATAGATAGATTTGCCTCACGGCACACCTGAGCCTCCAGAGGCTGCACCGATTCCGGTCGTATTTCCTGCATTGGATGCAAATCCTCGAAAGCTGTCTGACCGCCTAAAAAATATATATTTACGCGATAAATTCTGTGCAAAGTTGAAGCCCGCAATGAACATCCGATGAAAATGTAATATTATCTTCTGATGGCTTTCTTGCTCACGTACACAATTGATAATCATTAGATGGTTTCTGAATTCACTCTTTTTTTGCGGGGGAAGCAGTGGAGTCAAGACCTTATTGACTTAACATTACAACCTATGCAGGATATTCATCAGCACCGTTATTGTAAGCAGTGTATACGTGAATATACTTCCCAATTGTGGCTCACCTGAACGCACGCGTGCATCGTTATTAGAGTATTACCGTACCGTCGTAAGTGCGTGAGTAATTTGTTAATTATTATTATTATAGACCCGTGTTGAATCTAATTGGCTTTTCAATCTATAATCGTTATTCCTGTCAAAATGCGTTATTTTTTTTAATTTTTTTTTTGAAAGGCGTAGAATCACTGTTAACGAATCTCTCCTCAATTTGAATGCGTCAATTCTGGTGTGCGTATTATGATTTAATTCTCTGATTAGCCACGAATAATTTAAATGATAATTATGTTTGTAACATGACATAAATAACCTAATGGTACTTTTTTACTTCCACAATATTCAACATAGGCCCACCCATTTGCAGTCGATCTCAAAGTTGGCTTCTTCATATAGAAAAAATGCATTGAGGATTTTTTACCTAGGTTACACTCAATGTAATTGACATAATTGAGCTTGTTTTAATCCATATTGTTATTTTGTTAATGAATTATAGTTATTATTGATAAGATGACAACATCGACCAAGGAAAATACTTAATAAGCTGGGCCTAAACCACCCTGCGAAGTTGAGTTTAAATTGTCTGTTAGACACAAGAAACGCATTAGGAACCGTGAATATTTAATTGATATTTTGCAAACTATCAGTCTCTTTTCAATGACGTATTACTTCTATAACAGTACCTTCTCCATACGAACAATTATAGAATAGTCGATCCAAATTTTGAATAAATCACTCCATAAAGTCCCATCTTTAATCATTAATATTGAAGTCAGACGTTAATATTTTTCTGACAACGAAGAAAACTAATGTAGCGCCCCCTAGACAACTCGTTGTCTCCTTTAGTTTCCCAATGGGTTTAACACATGGAAAATTAAGCAATTTCTACATTGATGAGCACTCATTATCTGCCGGCGACTGTATCTCTAAAATGGCTGCTTGGTAAAATACATTCAGGTAAGTTAGACATCAGTGAATTTTTGTCTTAATGTACACATATTTTATAAATATAAAGATTTTAAGTGAAGTTACCATTGATCAATTAATCATCTTAAGGGACGATGATTGTATACGAAATGATTTTAAAACTGTGGGACTTGGCATCATTCAGGTTTTAGGTCAGATGTTGACATTATAACACATGAAGTTAAAGTATTCACCCAAATTTAAATATAATGATGTTTACTCGCTTGGATACAAATCTGACAGTATCGATATGTTGTGAAACGTGGGATGAACACAACACATTATTCTGATGTACTTCGCTGCGTGTTGTGAAGGCATTTCTTCGCATTATCGCGGTGTGCTGGATTTCTTACCATAAACGGACATGCACAGACAGTCACTAGCTTCTAATTACTCGCGCTAATTGACAAAAAAAGTATTCAATAAAAATCACATTTGTAACTTCATAACAGAAGACCATTTTATCAAATTGTTGTTAATGCTTGGCTTGTATAAGAAGACTTACCGCCGTAATGACGAAAAAGAGAGAATCCCTTGCCTCTTTTTGATACCAAAGCAATTAACACGCGCGCAATTAATAGTTATAACGCGCATTAAATCTAAGATTAATTTGGCAAATACACGATACCGTAACTTTATGATATTTGTGCTTATTTTCTTTTCATATTTCAAGTGAAATGCTATTTTATTAGATATGGATATCAAACGTAAATTCTACAAAACATTAAAACTAACAAAATAACAAAAAATAAACCCTCTTAGGACATCTTTTTTTTTAAAGTGATGCAAGATTAAGAACAAAATACAGAAGTTTATGAGCCGGTAGATAGGGTCACTCACAGTATTTTGGGGGTTTAAAATGCTAATAGACCTAATGTTGTGAACTTCACTGTGTGAACATTTTTCCATAATAGAATAAAGGTGTGTTATGTTTCTGGAATGTGGCCTTCAGTATGCTCGCTTTTTTTTTAAAGAACTCATTTAAAATTATTTTTGGTATAAATCAGAATATGTGAACAAATGTTATGGAATTCATAAATGAACACGAATTAAAATGAAAGTTCTAGAATTTAAGATGTACGGGCCGATGATGATTATTTAAGATGACTTAGATGATGAGAATGGCACCACTATCTATGTCCATATTTGGAACTTGGCTCGGGTGCGCTCTCAGTGACTACGCTAGTCAGTCACATTGTGAGACTCGAAGTAAGCAAACAAATTAAGCCCGCTAATGGGACAACCCTGGTGTAGGTTCAACCAATCGTGAACAGATTCATAACGAACGAGATGTATGGTTTAATATTACGTCTGCCTTTATGCATTTAATTAAGAAAGGTGAAGATAGTGAAGTGACATCATTTGCTATTCTTGAACAAGTCGTACTCGGATTCTTTAAAGGCCAATAGGACCCCCAATAGACACGGCTAAACATCTGGTAGGCCTACATTCGTCAGTTCATCTAAGAGATGAGAAGACACGTTTTGGCAAGACCATCGCCAAATCTTCTTTTTTTCTTTTAGTGTAATATTTATTATCTCAATTTTATCCCGAGTAGATCAACTTTTACCCTTTAAAATTTCTTTCACAGTTGGCGAAACCAACGCACAGTGTAAAGTTACGCGATTCCAATTTACCAACCAGTTCCAATATTACCGGAAGTTTATAGCTATTTTCTTCCAAGTCTCGACAGCATCCCAGTTTGTACGAAGGATTAAGGACAATTCCCGACCGTGAGTAATAATATAAAGTCTACAAACTGTATTTTTTAAGTCCTAAAGGCAAATAATAACCTCCTCCCACTCTGCGGTGTTTACTCGCTATTTGTTTCATATTTAAATATACTTCCGTTTAGCCGGTTGAGGGCTTTATAAGTCACAATGAGTTCCAACGGTGAAGCATACGAGGACTGTTACTATCAAGACGAGATAGTCGAACAGAAGCGCGAACTCGACGAGGACGAAGAAATGCCGCTCGCTGAGAAAGACTTGGCTGATGATGCCCCATGGAAGAAAATCCAACAGAATACATTTACAAGATGGTGTAATGAGCATTTAAAAGTTGCAAATAAACATATCGGAGGTTTGGAGACCGATTTATGCGATGGCCTACGGTTAATTTCACTGGTGGAAGTGCTATCACAGAAGCGAGTGGGCCGCTTCAACAAACGCCCTACGTTCCGCTCAATGAAGCTAGAAAATGTGTCCGTTGTCATGTCATTTCTGGAATCGAAGGAGAACATCAAAATCGTTAATATTGGTAAGTGCAATGTAATTATTATCTTTATATTATTGATTCTTATCGTTTTTCTGATAATAATTAACGAAATATCCATTGATAGCACCAAGGGGGAAAGGTGCCAGCCTATTCCATGCTTGATCTCACCAGAAATCACACTTGTTGATTATTAATTTGTTGGCCTTTAAACCTTGGGCTTGTTGTTACTCGCGCCGGCAGAAAAAAAACCAAAAAAATCCTAAAAATGAAGTAGCCTAGTTAGACTCTCGTTGTATTAAGTAAGAATGATAATCACATTCTTCCAAACGTAATACAACCTCAGTATTTGACCTTTTAGGCCTGGACTAGTAGTAGGCCTCGGCTAGGCTAGGCCGTGTTTGTCCAAATCGGAGTATGACAGAGTATGACAGGCAGGGGTCCTCCACCTGTTTTGGGGAAATTTTCAAGCTGTGATTCTACTTTCTCTACTGGGGCTGGTGATGTAGACAAGGCCTATAGAGTTATGGCAGTCTGTGATTTACAAACATGTATGACACCTGTCTAGAAGTATTAATCTGTGAGTTATGATTGATAGCATGAAGTTGCAGGAATAATAAAATTGCCTGATTTCACTTGGGAATCACTTTGCTCATGATAGTGGACTGGGTTGTTCCAGAGTTGTCAATTAGCAAGGCTACCACAAAATGAATTTTTTTGATTGAAAATGGCTTCCTCTAGTTGTCATGCTGATATTTGTATGTTGAAGGATAAATATCAAAATCGAGTTATTTTGTACTGTATCTTCATTTTTTATTGTAATTATTTTTTTTCTGCACATCACATTCATAATGCCAAAAAAGGCTTATACCCTATTCAGACTACGCTCTGTTGCGATCGGTTACGATGCAGTCGGTGGTAATCCAAAACTGATTACTTTACATTATATAGGACCCAGGCCGCCACTAAGCAGTGCCTGTGGAATTTGTTATGATTCTTTGCGATCGGATTCCGTGGTAATCGGGAGTAATAAAGATTGTAGCACCCAATCGCTACGGGTAACAATTGTGTTATCGACTACCATTGGTGAGCTTTCACACACACGATTTTACTTTTGCGATTGGGTGTCGCAGTTGCTACAACCGATCGCAATGCGATGCTAGTATAAATGGGGTATTAGCTTAATTTTTGGCCTAATTTGTGATTAAAAAATGCATAGTTTCTCATTTCAAATTAATTCCCTAAAACTCAAATTGAATACCAAAAGAACCTTTGGAATGCAGATTTAAATCCCTATTCCAATGAAAACTTAATTGTCATTATTAGTATTTTAACCCACTTACTGGAGCTAATTTGCGTCATGGGGGTAGGGGAGGCGTCCACACCTATATACACCAATGACTTACGATAATGGTCTGCGGTCATGTGATCATGCAGACAAACCCTTAAGTTTGTGATGAATGATGCTGTCAATACAATCTGAATTGTTGCTATGTGATAATCTGTGCTATGCAAATTTTAAGGCACTTAAGACAGCGGCTAAGTACCACTCCTAAATGCTTAGATCTCAAATTCCTGAGTTGAATACTGTATTACCATATACTGTAGAATTAACATTGGTCATGCGATAAATCATCTATTAAGAATATTAAGATTTCTTGATTGGATATTGTTGTTGTTACAATACACATGTTGTTGATAATACTGACAAATATTTAAAAATAAACATTTACATACTGAAACTTAATAAAGGGATCTGATCATAGGGGCCCAGTATAACAATGTACTACTACTGTACATTACTATTAAGTATCAGTCATAAACAGAAAGCAGTGTAGCATTTATTTAAATAGCTAATTTCAACCATGTTATAGAGGGTGACCCTTCCATATTCAGGGCCCTCTTAAACAAATGAAACAATGTGATGCGGAAGTCCCTTATGAGGCTTCAGCAGTGGAGTTGTTTTTAGTCGTTATAAAATCACAGGAATTGAACCCAGGCATCCGAGATTAGAAGGCAAGAACTACCACTAAGCTTTTCAGCTCCCACTTCTTAAGCAGATGGAGTTGGTGGTGCACTGGCAGTTCAAGAGAAAATTCCTCCTCCTCCTCCCACAAGACATCCTTAATCTGTGTCCCACACCAGAAGACCTTGGTGGCCCCTTGATCATTAGTTTCTATATTAGCAAAGCAATTCGACAAAACTAAGATAAAACATTTGAAGTGGGAATAAATAAACAGGTGCTTAGAGGAAGCAGGATTGTCATACAGTAGTGTCTAGTAAATAAGGGATTACCAAGATAACCAGCAGGATTTAGCGTCTTCTGAAGGGGTGCAGAAATGAGGAACCAAAGTTTAATTAACTGGTGCCTAGATTAGAGGACACCATTTATCATATTTTCTGTATAGCCAGTGATTTCTACAGTATTAATTACCCAAGATCATTGATGTTTTTTTCTGATTATTAAGTACACAAGTCATTGATGAGGTTGACGAGTTGAGGTGACTTGTTATTGTCTATTAATTAGTATGGTTATCATGGACTTCTTGCTTATCTTCTTCCTGATACCTGAGGAGGAGCAGACCTGATGAGGAGCAGATTTTCTGTAAATAAAAAGAAACATGATGCATTTAAAATCAAAACTAAACTAGAGTAATAAATGAGCCGATTTGACTAATCACCTGAGATGTATCAATAAGCAAGATTTATGTCTTGTCAAACTGAGTAATTTAGTAAGTACCTACAGCATTGCGTGTAGTATACAGTAATTGTTATTATAGAAGAGGTTTATGTTTTTTATACTTAGTAATGTACAGTATACGATAATGTTATGATATGATAAGAGAAGAAGGAACAGGCCTGGAAAAAAAAATGTGCGTGCCTGTGATCATGAACATTGTCTCGATAAAATGGCTCCAGCACCAAATGGTATCTGCATACAGTGTATAGCCCAGTTTTGTTTTTTTGAATTTTTTTCCCCCCCAAATGCCTCCAGGACATTCATGATGCCTCCGACTGCCGGTCCTGCGTTCGCACACTTTTTCCAGCCCTGAGGAGGTATATAAGAAAATGAGGAATATTATAAGAGAATGAGGAGGATTTAAGGTGTGTATTATGGCAGTCTGTTTGTGCTTTATGAAGCCATTTTCATTTCACAAAATTTGCCATACTCTTTGTATAGAATGGTCTAGACTGTTAGAAGTTATTGTTAATAATACCAACCCTGCTGACAGTGGTATTGAAGGAAATTACTGGAGCCTACCAAATTTGATTATTGTTGAGTCTTGACTCGGCTTGGGGTAAAATTCACTTGGCTTATGGGTGTGTCTACATGTACTTCACCAGTTTATGTGACCGTGTTTACTGATGATTTGATAATTCATCTTGGCCAGAAGAGATGTCCCAGTCTCCCTTCCATGCAGTACACTTTTTTTTTTTATAAGAACACATTTTATAAAGAACACTGAGACTGAAATTGCTTAAAAATTAAAAATAAACTAAGAACAAGAGAGTTTAAGGCATGAGGTCCAGGTGAGTCGCGGTAGGATCAAGGGGAAAAGACCTTATGGGGTGGGGCGAAGCTGCCTCCCCCCACCATGCCGGAGCTTTTTTGCACTTTTAAAGCATGTAATAGCATATTTAAATACTACTTTTTGTAACTATCCAATGCAATGGAGAATAGTTCTAGTATGCAGGGCCTCTAAAGTAGTAATGATCACTTCTTTTCAACACAGGATTTCAAGACAGTTGTCAACAATGCACAGTAAAAACACTGAAATTAAGTAAATTTGAACATCAATATATATTTTCTGCTAGAAATCAACCTTACAAACTATACAATAATAGCAGTGTAATTGCTTAAGTCACATTGGGTTTGCTTGTTAAAGGGGGTTCGCTTGTCAAATGGGGGTTTGCTGAAAAACGGGTTCGGCCAAACCCCCAGAAAACCCCGGGGGAAACCCCTCCCCCGGCTACGTGCCTGCATTTGGAGTGTCATTCATATTCATCCATGTGAACTTAACATTGATTAGCCACTGATGATGAAGGCATGAAAATCAACAGTATTTGTAGAGTTGGAAATGAAACTAGGCGCTCATTTTCCCCCTAACCTCTTTCAGGGTGTCCTCCCCTTTTTTCCTTGCGCCTTTCCTTGTTTTCAATACTTGATAGGAACTGCATGGTATGTAACCAACTCTGCATATGAAGCATATTAGTATGTATGTGGTTGCTTAGTAGCCTGAAGTTATGTTCCTTAACTACAAGAAAAATCAATATATCATAAGGCCTAATTGCAGATAATTGAATATTATATTGGAATTTTGAGGTTTATAGTTATTATATTAAATTTAAAGACGTACATGTACATTATAATTATTTATAATATATTGTTAATTAATCTTTGCGTATTTATAGTTCCTTTGTGCGCCTACTGTACTATAAAGGTGACTGGTGTATAAGCTGATTGGGTAGAATAATTTTGATTACATTATGATTACAGAAAATTGTATCCACATCATTCTAATACTGTTCAATGTACATGCCTTTCCTACTGTGTAACTGTGCTATGTTACTGTCTTACAAAGTCCAAATAACCTCATTGCTGTTCTGTGACTGGACCATTCCAATACTTGGCAATCTATGAATTGACTGTATTCGTGTTGTGCGAATTATTTTCGGTTTGTTTACTTCAGGGTTTCCCCAAGCAATTCAAGGTCCCTCACTATATCAAATTATGGTTTCAAGCCAACGGAGTGGATAATTGCTAACCAACCATGCAGCCTATCGGATCAAGTGCGATTGCTAGACAACAAGCTGTTGTAGTTTATAATACCCATGTTTGTAATATCCATATAATATATTTAAAAAATAGTGAATGCAACTATATTAATTCATAATCATATTTGTATTAAATAAACATAATTACCTATATAAATACAAATATCAATATAAAGAAATAAAATAAAGTAAATAGTAATAGTAAGATATTGTCCATTGCACCACCTTTCTGAAAAGATCTTTAGGCATTCTCTTTGCACTTTTTAAAG